CCAGGTTGCTCCAAGATTGTTGCGCGAGTCCTCCGCGGACTCTCGGGTCGTTCTGGAAGCTCTCAAAGGGGTTAAGGGCTGATTCAGCGTTGACCGATCAATGAATGGTTTAGGGCTAATCTAAGCCAGAAACAAGTTGATTCTCTCAGCAAGCCCAGAAAGCACCCTCTTGCTGAAGCTGATCCCCGCCTTACCGAAGCTTCTTCGTATCTTGGGCTTTGAGGGTTTAAGTGTAAGGCTTGCGGTTTCAGCGCAGCTCCCTAAACCCTCAACGCAAAACCCTCGAAACCCTTGAACGACCAGCCCAAAGACCTTCTCTTCTTGTCTTGGTGCGGAATCTTCCAGCCATTTCAGGCTGCGGACTCGGCATTACACGGCTTCTGGCCACGGCCACGTGCTTCCCTTGAAGCCCGAGACAGGTTGAGAGTTTTCAGGCTGGAAGAGGTATTTTCCCTCCTACATAGGAAGTGTTTAGGGTTTAGGGAGAGGTTTAAGGCTTGGGGTTCAGGCTCGTAGGTTAATTATTGGGCTTATCGGACCTAAGAACTCATACTTCCAAGATAGCAACAGACGGCAGATTCAACACATCGCCTTATAGCTACAATGTAGTCAACTCATTTATGGAGACGAGCTTACGACCCGTCATCCGACAAACTTTGTCAGCCAAAAAAAGAGCGAAAGATGCAGTACCCTCAACCCCGGGAGCCTTTGCCGCTTGCTGTTGTGCACAGAGCCTACGTACTAAACGGCTCTGCGGTTCGTTGGACTTAACTTAAGGGCTTGGGGTTCAAGAATTCGGCGTTATTTGGAGCTTCCGTACATGATATGATCACAACCTGATGTGTCATCACTCTGTGGAAACAACGTAAGAAGCGAGAACAGGTCCTGTGCCTCAGTGGCCAAGGCAAGCAGTATGGTTGACACAAGGCCCCTGCGATCGCAAGAGCGAATTGCGGCATGCAGAGATGTACGCGGCGGCTAAGGTCGCATCAAGGAAGACTGATCTGAAACCTGGTCTTCTTAGAGTTTAGGGTTTAGGATTCTTTATTACGTCTATCCCATAAGTCCATAAGGACCCCCCCCCCCCCCGACAAGGACGCCTCTCAACTAAACACTCCCCAATAGTCTATCAGGTTCTGCCGCAGTCTCCAGCAAAGTTAACAAAAAGACAACATTCGCCTTCCACAGGCTCTACTACCAATTGTGTGGACCATACGTAATAAATACATGTACATGCATGTGTACAGAATGTATAAATACATGCATGCATACTTACATACAGACAGGGCACTTAAACTCCTTAGCTATAGGCCTGTTTCGGAAAATTGACATGGGCCCGCTGCACTGCACAGCAAGAAGTCTGTTGCCTTTTCATGACCTGGCCACCGGGTGTGGCGCCTGGACCCCGCATCTTACTGACCGCCAGCTCAACCATACGTATTCCTGGCTGAAAGTTACACTTGTGGCCTCGTGACGGTGAGCAAAAGAAGCACAGAAAACCCAAAACCCTAAAACTTGACAGCCAGCCGAAAAGAGTCAAGAAGAGCAAGGAGAACTTTCAAGCAGCTACTGCGAGGGTCGGAATGATTTAGTCAAGACCCCTTATTATGGCATATTCAATAGCCATACATACTATCATGCACTCCCAAAAACCCTGCTCCAATTACGCCCATAAATACATATGAACCCCAAAAACCCACTACTAAGGCATTAAGGCCATAATTTAGGCAAAACATCACAAAGAGTCTGGGTGAGAGTGGAGAGGTAAAGAGGCCGGAACACCCCAACCCTGAAACACTCATTCGACTTGATTCGATGCCTGTTCCTGATTTCACCGCTCTTGGCTTATGGTTTACAGCATTGGCGTTTATGGCCGCATATACGGTTATATAAGGGTTTGGGGGTTTGTGAATTAAACGACGGTTTAGGGTTCTCAGAAACCCCACAACCCTAAACCATACTTACGGCACGGTATTGCCACATCTCAGAGACCCCGAAAAAAGTCTGTTCTCTTGATGCAGAGGCCAGCAAGACATTGCTTCTGGCCCTAAAGAGCCATTACGCTGGCTGCGCTGAGACTTGTTGCCCCAAAAAAGGGTGAATTGCAACCTATCCCCCAACCCCAGGCCCTACACCCTAAACCTGGAGTCCACCCAGTTCATGAGCCATTTTTTTCGAACTTGCAGTACTGCTGGGTCTCAGGAATAAATTGGACAGCCCAAAACCCACAACCCCAAAGCGCACCAACTCAGCTCTTCAGAGCCCGGGAGGAGGAGTTGGAATTCCAAATCTCCGGTTCAGAACAGCAGGGCCATAAACCGAGCATCTAAGGAAGCACTTAGGGCTTTTCGGTGTAGGGTTTAGGGGTTTAGGGCTTAGGGCTTTTCGGTTTGCGGGCAAACTCCATCAACCGAGCAACCAGAAAAAACACACGCAAGCAAGCTAAAAATAACTGACTAACAACCAAGTCCCAAGCCCCGACCCAGAAACCAATGTATTTAGTCCCCAACTCTAAAGTTGGACCAAAAAAGCTGTACGTTTCAGACCTGAGGGCCTGAAAGCTATCGCAATAATCCATAGCTCGTATATGATTCCCCTAAACCCTACCCTAGTCCCTGAACCCTAAGATGAAGAAGAGCACGGGGCTTCGGCATGGAACAGTCAAGGGCGCAGCCAGCGACAAAATCTGCAAGATTCGCCACACAGGTATCTGACCGCCGGCCTGTTTGTTTTGTGATATCAGTGTCCTGCACTTATGCAATCTGGAAAGCGCTTAAGCCTAGGACATGCGCTAGGGCACTTCGTGATGCTTACGGCGACAGAGGATAACTTATACTGTGCCACGGCTGACGGGTGTTTGCTCATGCACATGTGGGCGTTTAAGGGCAACATGGAGAGTTACTTAGCCCCAAGCAGTTCAAAACAAGTGCCAGAGATTGTGGCTTTTGCCTTACTCGCGCAGGGCTGCTTAAACCTTGATAAACGTCGCTGGATTTGGAGGCCAGAGCAAGATCCAGTTCAAAGAAATATCAGTACCCCCATTATAAAGTGTTGTTGGTGTCAATGCTGTGCTTCTGCACTGCTGCCGTCAAATACCCTACAAGTCCTAAACCATAAAAACACCCTGCAAGCCCTAATCACTAAGCTAGTGGACCATGCAAGAGTAGTCCTTATGAAAGGCCCCACGAACAAACCCCTGGGAACCAGTATAGTAAAAAAACCTAAACCCCAAACCGGAACCCTAAAACCTACCGACTTAATACCGTAACCCTCAACTTTAACCCAAAAACCCATAAATCCGGACCACCACAAGGGAGACAGGGGTGCGGCCACAACGTGCAAAGATCTGATCAGCAAGCCGGAATCTTGACGACAAGGGCTCAGACCTCGGCTCGAGATGCCATATCGGGGCCTTTTTAGGGTTTTGAGGGTTTAGGATTTAAGGCTTCGGGTTTTGGGTTTCTTTTTGCCTCCCACCTTGCTAGGACGAGCCCGCATTGCAGGGTTTAGGGTTCAGAGGGTTTAGGGTTCAGAATAGGGTGTTGGGAGTGTTCGAAACTAGAGTTAGAGTTATATATCAGGCACTAGAATGGGAGATTTGTGCTCTAAATATTTATTCCGACCCCTACAACACCGGGTTCTTCTCGCCCGGTTAGCATTGCAACGAACCCTTGCTATACAATAAGGGTGTAATACGGGTGCCTGTCCAGGAACTTTCGTCAAAGTTAGGACCCTAGCGCTTTGTTTGGGGCATTCTTGGTAAGGGTACTAGTGCTTAGGGTATCACTTATGGACTATTCGGGGCCCTTTTCTCGACAGCGCCCTGTCTCAAAGACTGCACGTGGACTTGGAGATATCTGAACCTTAAACCCCAAAACCCTTAAACCCTAAATATTAGGGTCTAACTTTGGAGGACTGGGCTCTGACCGCACGGTGCAGGTTTCCGGGGAAAGCTATTCTCAAGACTCTACCCATAGGCTCCATGGTAGTTCCTTTTGTGGTTTATAATATAATAGAATATACTATAATATAGTATAATATAGTTAGGATCCTATAAGGTAATCCCCAAAAGGAACTGCGATGGAGCCTATGGGTAGAGACTCTGGATACGGTTTACAGGTTAGGGTTGATGGTGTGGGGGTCGGGAAGCGATGCGACGACAGCTACCACAACCACCGAACTACCACTACGCGCAAGATAGGGAACACTACTCAGAGCCCAGAACCCCAAACCAGGAGCCGTCGATTCCAAACCCTACGCCCCAAAACCCGAAACCCACAAACCCTAGAATCCTAAAGCCCTAAGCCCCAAACCCCTAAATCCGAAACCCTAAGCCCTAAGCCCTGAACCCCCAAACCCTATAAGCCCTGGCTTTTCCTTAGGCTAGAACCGAGCCGTCTCAAAAGACTTCGGGCGGAATCCTCAACCCTCAAGTCAAGCCTACCTATAGTCTCCATTGTAGTTCTTTTTTTGGTTTAACCAAGTTTATAGTAAGGATCCTAAAAGGCAACCCCAAAAAGGAACTACAATGGAGACTAGAGGCAAGCCCAAAACCCCCAAACGGCTTAGGCATTCGGCGCTCACTCGGACAATCCAGGCGAGGCATGTGGTTCGAGGTCTGCTGAGAAGTGAAACCAATGCAAGTTCAAGACAGCCAGGGTTTCGGCGCTCGCACTCGGCCCGCCAGGGTTGAGGGTGATAGCTCCCAAGGCAGAACCCAAAAGCACCCCCTGGGCCAAGAAAAACGAACAGAAAACCCTTCACCAAAAGTCCTAAATCCCAAACATAAGTCCCACATTCCAATCCCTTTTAACACCAGAACCGTGAGCTCTGAAATCCTGAAAGACCTGTACATGCAAAGCTTGTACGCCCCACAGTCACACAAACTTCAATAAGACCCTTGCCAAGCCCCTGCACTCAAAGAGTATCTGTGCTTTTTAACTATGTTTAGCCACCTTATGAAACAGCCCCACAAAGCCCTGAAACACTGGGGCCGGTGCCTCACCGGCAGCAGGGCAGGTTTGGCTATCAAGCACCACGCGGACGCTGTAAGGCTTCACCAGGTTGATGATGAGATGATCCTACAGGAATAGGGAGTACATAGGGACATACTAGCAGGGGTGGGGCTTCAGTGTCGATCATGAACATATCCTGTGAGAGAATGTGGCTTTGGGTTTGGCGTGCAGGGTGTCGAGCTTTGGGAATTTGAGCTTGTGCAGACAGTTTCGCACACGTTTGCACCGGGCTACTAACAGGATCGGATCAAGGGTGTCATCGTGAGATGGGCAGGGATCTGGGGTTTTGGGGCTTGTGAGGGATATATAGGGCAAGGTAAACTTTCAACCTCGGATCTGAGGCTATGAGACATTACAAAGTCTCGGCTCGAACGTCGGGCCTTGACGGTGCCGCTTGAGCGAAGAAGCGTATTACTACAATGTCGGCAGAAGTGAGCCTTCATCCAAAACGTTGCGTCTAAGAGACAGTTCTGTGTCCATCCTGACGGCGACCCATACTAAATCCCTGTAAACGGGAGACATGTGGACTGACATCCGTCCTGATCCGGGCAATACTCCACAGAGTACTCATAGTTCGTCAAGCCACCTGGTGTGTACAGCATTCATGCAGGCTTGCGTGAGGACGAGGCATACATGCTTATTATAAGCTTCCGAAACCGTAAACCCTCGATCAATCCTCAACCCTTGCAACCTGAGGCTGCAATGTGACGGGGGAGCTAGCGTTGCGGCGGCTTCGGAATAACAAGACAACCTTCTTCAACCAACCTGTAGCTAAGTTGATGACTAGAGTAGGGCTTAATCTAAGAACCCCCCAGAAACCTCAAAGGTTGGGTATTGCAACATCGACAATGTCACAGCGTCATCATGTGGCAGCCTGCCACGGCGCCCCTGCCTGTTGCAGCACTACTGCTATTCAGGCAATCCTCACATCATCGAAGCACCGCAGCCCTGCAAACCTTGCCACACTTCGGCAAGTCAGCCTTTTGATTTCCCGCTACCAGGATCTTGATGGACATATGTTTGATTCACATGGTTGAACGTTCAAGTAGCCCGCGTTGACAAGGTTACTGGCACAAGTGAAAGTGCTGATTATTCACAAAAGTTGTAGCAGCCTGACTCGGCTAAACTTCCAGACCCTCCCAATAGACTCCAATACATGTCCTTTGTTGCTTACCTTGATCAAACAAAAAACTAAGTTGGAGACATATAGGCTGCGGGTATGGACACTGTCTAGGTCAGAAACCCAGACCGCCGCCACCCAAATGCCTAAAACTTGAGAGCCAAATTGCAGCCGTGGTCATTCTCGATGCTGATCACGTTGTTGTCGTTCTGGAACCTTAGTCGAGAAATGTGATCAAGGGGGGACATGTGACTAGCTGCATCGTGCTTGTACTGCAAGGCAGTATAAACACACTGCAGGCGAGCGAACACACACACACACACAGAGTGTCAATTCCTACACAGTAGTGGGTCTGGGTCGTAGCATCATATCAAGAGCTAGGGTTCTGTTGTGGGTCTCAGGCAACCGACTCTTGAACCCTGTAGCTTACTTTCCCAGATTGTCATACAAAAATCAATCATACAGGGTGTTATATAATGCCAGAAAGCCTTAAATGTACCAAAAACCTTCAGCTACTACGCTGAACACTCGGGTCGAACAAAACCCTAAACCCCAGAATCCTATAGCCTAAACCCTTGAACCCGAATTCCAGCCTAGTGGCTGGGCTCCCTCACATTCGGCAGACTGGGGCCCCACGGCCTACGGCCCACGGTCTTTCATGCATCGTGTTCGGGCTTAGGTTTTAGGGTTTCGGGTTTAGGGGTTCCTAAGATTGTTGTTCAAACCTTCATTTTCAAGGTTTAGGGTTTAGACTGCTGCTTCCATCAGTATGGTTCTAGGAATCTTCCGTAGTTAAGGGTACGGGCCATTACTAGGAATAGGTGCATGGTTCATTGAGGGGCGAGGGGCGAGGGACTGTAATTGCATCAAATCAAGGTCAGATTGCCTCCCAAATGCTAGGCGTTGGGTGTCGTCGACTTTCCCCTAGACCCTAAACGGCCCTAAACCCTAAACTTTCGGAGGAGCTCAAGGCGTGTCGGGCTCCGGGCTTTTGGGATAGTATAGGGTCGAAGGTTTAGGGGGGTCGGGCGTTGAGGGGTGTCGAGGCCATGGGCCCTAAAGATACCCTAATCGGGGCTTCGGCGTTGGGGATTTAGGGACTTCGGGATGAATTTTTAGTGAGGATACCTCGTAGTCATAGTGCCGGCGAAAGCACATCGATATCAATGTCCCGTGCTGGAGCGTCACGTAGCCCCCCATTGCTTTTTCAGCTTTTGAGCTTTTGGGGTCTAAGCCTTCAAGAGGAGGGCCTGGCTTAAAGGGCTTAGGGTTTAGGACCTACACAAAATCACGCAGCGAGTAACAACGTTTGGGAAGCCCTTCGTTCAAGGAACTCTATAGCACGAGCCCCACGGGCCTTCATGTCCACAATGCCAACCTTGGCCAAAGCAAGCTTTCGTCTTCTTCCGGGGAGGTAGCTGGCGGAATTCCCAATAGCAATAATAGCAGCCGTCATGTAAGAAACAAGCTCATCACACCTACCTTCACCCCCTCCTTCTCGGGTCCACGCCTTCTGCAGTCTAAGGCAAACGCTGAGCTTCAGCTCTTGCATGGTTTGCCAGGCATGCGATTGTAGTGCGGCATTTTGGATAACTGAGTTTACGGGTAGGATCTTGTGACAGGAAGGCAGGGTATATAACCAGAACCAACTGCGAGGGTCTTGGCAAGCCGCTGCTTGAGCTTGACAAACTCCAGCCCTTATCCTCAGCCGGGTACTTGGACGGATCGCAGCGTTCGTAAGATGGATTCTGGGGATTGCTGTAGCTCAAACCCAAGAACCTCTGTAAGACATTGCCAAGCAGCATCGCCGTCATGGCTGATCACATGGACGGAGAAGGTCTCAGTGAGGATGGAACCGCCATAGCAGACCTCAGCAATAACCCCTCCCAACTTGCAATGGCTGTAAGCTTTTGAAGCGGTCGACCTCAGACTCTTTCTTCGGAATAAGCTTTTGGGCTTACTGACATTCTGGTGAAGCTTGCCCGGGGGCTCTGTATATACTACCATTATGGAAATAGGCCTCTATAGGGCCATACTATAAGCATGGCCTTTTGGGGCCTAGTTCCATCATGCTTAAGTTGTGAAGGACAATCGGAAAGCCACAGCCCTAAACCTTAACGATTTTTTCTCTCTCGCAAGGCTACGGTTCAGGGTTTAGGGGTTTAGGGGCTTCGGGGTTTAGGGTTTTTTCGCTACGCTGCTCACACCAACTGCGCCAGAGGAGCGGGGCCCGCAGGAATGTTTCCGGTGCCCGTGCAGGCAGGTCCCTCGATGATACCTGCTCGACCAAGCTTAAACTTAGCTATAGTAAACCCCACAAAGTTGGAAACCGGATTAAGGCCAAATAGGGCTGGGATTCCCTATACATTACCCTTANNAACTTTTGGGCTTCTACTGTAAGCCACGTTCAGTTGACTACACTTCTTACCACGAACAACTAAAAACCTCAAAAAATGGTCTTCCGATATCCGGCATTGAATTTCAACCATACGTCTGTCCAAGCTAAAGGCCGTTTTCCTTGGTAGTCAGCATGCAGCATAGACGCAACCCCGCCTACAAAATCCCCGATCGCTCGTGTAGCGGAACAACTGAAGACCGGGGATGGGCCAGGGCCGCTGTAGGGATCCGACGATGCTATAGGCTGTAGCCATACAAGCGTTTCCATATAGAACAAGATACGAAGTACTAATCAACCTTGTATTCGTATTCGATTCTTTGAACACCTCGGCTTCCAGGCTTATGGAGAACTCCTGCGGGGTTTCACGCGTGGAACTGCTTTGGTTAAGGTTTAGGCGTCTGAATAATCAGCCGACAGTTGCAGGGGGGGGGGGGGGNNGGGGCCTTTGGCAACTCTTGACCCTAGAAGCGTGGCTTCGGCTTTAGGCTGCAAGCTCTAAAGGGCTCTAGGGTTTAGTTTAGGGCGGATATCTATTCTCAGTTCTGGCTGCTACGTCAGTGCTGCTCCGTCTCTTGCTAGTAGGGATCGGACACACCGCGTTTGGACTAGGTCAGCAGGTCAAGAAATTCAGGGTGCTCTTTTCTCCAGCTCACGCAGCATGAGCTTTCGGTTCTGTGCCCCGTCGAACTTCGCAGAGG